TGCGTTTTTCTACCTTCATTTTTTGTCTTTTTGACCGGTTTCTTGGTCTTGTATTTCTAGTACTAGGTTCTGTTTTAGGTTTTTCCAGCAAGTGCTGTGTTTCAAGTTTACCTTCCAATGAATATTTAGTTTTTTCCCCAGTACCTTCTCCCTGTTTCTCCCTCCTCGCTCCTGCATTTGTATCCCCCCCCCCCCCCCCACAAACCCTGGCCCCAGGTAACTCACTTGCTGTATTCCATGACGGAGCCGAAGTCGTAGGGGGTCTGCAGGTTGTTTGTCTTCTTTTTCTTGAAGTTGTGTTCGCGCCCTGTAAAGGAACCAGAGGCAGCTATTAGCGTCTGGGGTCTGGAGGTCAGAGCTCCTGCCGGGGGGGGGTCAGAGTGTGTCTGTGGCTGACCTGGCTGGATGTTGTCCCAGAGGATGCGGACGTAGCGGTCCCGGTCGGAGCGGACCTGCTCGTGGTTGAAGCCCAGCGCGTGCAGCAGCTCGTGCTGGACGGTGGACTGGTGCAGGCAGCCGTTCCTCCTCAGGGACAGCTTCTGCTCTCCGTTCAGACGGCCCAGGTAGGACCAGCACCTGAAAACGCACACAGAGCACTTCTGGTTTAAGGGGGCTCTCTGGGGATCATTTCGCTTCTTCCTCATGTTAGAATCTGGCTAAAATGACTCATTTTAGCTTAGTATGCTATCACATAATCTATGTAAATTACTGATTGACTTATTCCTTTTAGAACTTTACGTTTTCTTGTAGTCTAAGATCAGACATTAAATCGACACCATAGAAACGTTGTCCTCGTTAGAACTTGGCCCTAATTACTCACTTTAGCATTGTATGCTATCACATGATCTATGTAAATGACTGATTGTCTTATTCCTTTTAGAACCAATTTTTTGTGTTAAAGCCTTTGTTTCTTTCTTTTCCTCTCTCTGTTGCATTAGATCCACCTTTAGGTCAACACACACACACACACACACACCATTTGTTAGCACATTCCTGTCATCTGCATGAATTAGGACCTGGCCTGTTCGTGCCCAGAGGTAACTGGCCAATAGGACTTGGTTGTGTCCAGTCCTCCTTTGAGGAGGCGGATGGAGCCCAGGAGATAATGAGAGAGTTTTTGTCTGTGAAGAACCCAGCTGATTTACTTTAGCTGTGACCCTAATAAATGTATTGAGCTATTTATTTACCAATAAGAAACTATGCGCTCAACAATGTGAAAAAAGCTCAGAATGAATAAAAGGACTGAAAGGACGGCCGTTTCCTCACAAGAGATTTGGAATTCTCCAAGTCTGCTCAGGAATTTGCTCAAAACCTTTACTAATATGTGACTAACAAGGACCCAAACCCTTGAAAAGACCCCCTTTTCCCAGCATGTATCAATTACTACTCAAACAGTCCGACCAATCAGCCTTGGTGTTCAAACCTACCCGGTTCCAGAGAAGAAGTTGAGGTAGCTGGACTGCCATCTTCTCCAGACGAAGCGGATGCAGGTGGAGCGGTGGAAGGACACCAGGCCTCTGATGATCACGTTGCGCTCTGCACGGGCTGCAGGAGGAAAAAACAGAGAAGTCCCACATCCATGAGCCTTAAAGACTTCCTCTAAAAGCCTTTGAGATTCCTCTAAAAGCAGCAGGAGGGAGAAGCCACTCAGATCTTTGAGTCTTTTGTTTAAAAAGAAACAATGGCTGATGGAAATCTGCTCTTGGAAATCAAGTTCTTTACCTTTAAACAAACCATTGGTGGCTTTGATTATGTGCAAACTCAAGCAATCACAGAGAAACTGTCCAAGTTCCTGACTTAGCCAATGCATAGCTTAGTTAAGGCTAGAGTAAAGTCTTTAAAGCCAAAAAACCCTCGTTTTAATGGCATTTTTACACTTATGGAACAAAAACCCACAGGCATGCTCCTTAAAAGTGCACAAAGAGCTCACATCTCTAAAGATTTTCCACGTAGACCTGTTTTTTATGGATCTTAATGCAAAACACAGCGTTAATCTCCAGTTTTATTGGTGCCTGAGTCCTTTTTCTCTTATGGCTGTATCCAGGCCTCGTTGGCTTCATCACGTTTTTTTTAATTTTTTTAATTTTTTAAATAAATAATTAAAAATTATTAAAAAATCACAAAAAAAATACTAAAACAAATTCCAAAACTGATTAGGAAGTAAACACATTTCCAAAGCTAATCGGAACCAACGTCTAGCCTTAACCCTTAAAAGCCTGAGCCAAGAAAAATATGAAGAATATTGGATTTTTTTAGTCTGAAGTCTTTCTTTGGCCCCTCAACAACATATGAAGAAAAAAAAACAGAAATTATTTTGATCAAATTAGCGTGCAATAAGTCAGAAATATATGTTGGTGTGGTCTTCTACTGGCTGTTATCAGGTATATCTGAATGTGTACAACAGGGGTTTGAGCAAAGCTTTTACCACTGAATGATGCAGAAAGTCTCACATCCAAAAGACTTCAGAAACCGTATGAATCAGATATGACAATATGGCATTATAGGGTTAAATGTGGCTTACAGTAGGTGGAGGAGATGCTGACGGGCACGTAGACGTAGCGGCCGTATTTGGGCCACTTGCAGCCGGTGGCCGTGCACGGGACGGCGTTCCTGCTCATGGACGGCATGATGTCACCGAACATCACAGGTGTCTCTGCAACAGAAAAAAAACAAAAGCAAAAAACCTGTCAGCCCTGTTGTTCCCACTTCCATCTGATAAAAACACTATTTCAAATTAACATGGCATTCGCTACCAAAAGTTTTACCACATATGAAGTTGAGAAAAGCTCATTTCTGGAGCTTTTCCTCAACAAATAATAAAAAAAATCAATAAAGACTGTCAGGGGAGGTGGCTTATTTCCCACTTGAGGAATAAACTCTTCTCCAGCTGTTACATTTCACCCAGTGGGGTCAGATTAGGTAAATCTTGTGTCTTACTGATGTCTTCATTGGCCTTTGAGATGATTTCGGAGACATCTGAGGACTCGTCTGAGGAAACAGGACAGAAACACATCAGGATGAAAATCTGAGATTGGCTTAATTGCCTGGATCTGGACATTTTTTATCATCTCACTCACCGATGTCATTTCCACTGTCAGTCGGTGCACTCTGCAACAAAAAGGGCATTTTTTAAAAACATTTCTGCTGTTTTAGAACATTTTCAGGAAGAAACTAGACGTAATCAATGGGTTTCAAATGAGCCACGAGTGGGAAATAAGCTGAATCTGAGACCTACCAGAGAAAGAGCCGTCAGTGAGAGGACGATGAGGAGGTGGAAGGCGGGCGTCATGGCGGCGGCGGTCTTCTGCAGATGCGGCGACAGACCTGGAAAAGTTCAAATCTGAGAAAACGGTTGGTTATTAAAATCAAGTCTGGTGAGGAAACGCTGAATAAATGAAGAGGATGCCAGAGGAAGTTACCTGTAGCCCCAGGTAGGTGATGCTGGATGCGGCAGGTGCTGGCCTCCTCCGTATTTATGCACAGTCCAGGAGGGCGTGGCCGAGGCTTCACGGACGGCTGTCAATCATGGACCTTATGTCCACAGGATCAGGTTTCCAGAAAAGAAACCAAAGGAATAAAACATCTAATGGTAGCACTCAGATTTCTGATCACTGCACCAGAAAAGTGTGTCGGGAAATTTACATGCAGCACAAAAGAGGTGATTTATTAATCTATTTATTTAAACTTTTGAATGAAAAGAAAATATTTGCATCGTAAATTAAACTTGTAGAGAGCGTACACACAAACCAGTTTACAGGAAATGATTACAAAAATTAAAATAATGAGGAAAGGAGAAGCTGGGAAGGGCTTAAGATGGAGGAACTAATTGAGAGCTATTATTTGATCAAACCCAGGTAACATTAATTAAAGTCTCTGTGGAATGTGGACTCTCTGGTACAGATGAAGCTATTTTTGCCTCAGGTCAAGATCTGTGTGTTTAACAGTAAGCTCATGACAGCACAAAGCCCTCGTCATGGCAGCAGAAGCATGTACGCTGATGAATGGATGATGTTGAAGTGACGGAGCTGACAAAAGACCCATTGTTTCACCAGAGGCCCAGGCAGGCCCGGCTGGATTCCTGACAGCAAGAACAAATAACAAGAACACAATTAATCACAGAGGGACAAATATGACTGGTCGTTGATTAACAGTTCTTTGTGTCGGCTCTTTTTTTTAAATCCCAGGTCTTATGTCTTCATGAGACCAACATGAGGACGT